GGGCGGCCGCCGCGTGTGCGTGCGTACCCTGGAGCCCGGCGGCGAGGCCGGTGCCCGCCTGGGCCGCACGCACGTCCTGCTGCACCATTGCCCGCCCTTGCACCTGCTGTCCACGCGCAAGGACGTCTTCCTGGGCCCCGCTGCCTCCAGCGGGCCGGGTGCGGCGCACGTCCTCCTCACTTGGAACCCGAGCAGGGGCAAGGTGATGGTGACCGCCCCGCGCCTCGGCCTGTCCTACAGTAAAAGCCTGAATCCCAAGCAGGGGGATACCTGGGACTTCCGGACCCTGCTCCGAGGCTGCCCTGGGTTGCTGTGCCCCGGAGAGCCACTGGCGGTCCATACCTGGGCCCCGACCCCCCAGGGCTTGCTGCTGCTGGACTCCAGGGGCACTGTGAGCCTGGTGCAAGCCCACGGTGCTACGCGAACTGTGGGCGCCCTGCAGGAGGTCCCTGTAGGTCTGGAGGGCTCGGCCGCCCTGGGAACATTCCACGGCACTCTGGCCTGTGTGCTGGGCTCCACCTTGCAGCTTCTGGACATGGGCAGCGGGCAGCTGTTGGAGCGGAAGGTCCTCAGTACGGACAGAGTCCACTTGCTGGAGCCCTTGGCCCTCGCAGTGAAGGACGGGGAAGGACTAGGGACCCAAGGGGGCCTTCGTTTGCTTTCAGCCTTGGGTCTGTTTCATGTGGGCTGGGAAACCCCCCGGCCCCTTGAGCTGCCTTCAGCCACAGACCTGGTATTCGAAGAGGCCTGTGGGTACTACCAGCGGCGGAGCCTGCGGGGTGCCCAGCTCACCCCGGAGGAACTGAGGCACAACAGCACGTTCCAAGCACCTCAAGCCCTCGCTGCCATCCTCCAGGGCCACATGTCCCCGTCCACCCTGCTGACGACCCTAAGGGCTGAGCTTCGAGACTATCAGAGCCTAGAGCAGCTCAAGGCCCAGCTGGTGGCAGGGGAGGAGGAGGAGGCCGTCTGGACCGAGCTGGCCCACCAGGAAGTGGCACGCCTGCTGAGGACTGAGTTGGCAGGAGAGCAGCTTGCCCAGCTCAACACTGTTTTCCAGGCCCTTCCGTCAGCAGCCTGGGGTGCCACCCTTCGCGTCCTGCAGCTCCAGCCAGATGGGAGTGGCAGGCTGAGCTCCCAAGCTCCCCCTGATGTATGGAAAAGGGTGCTAGGGGGTACAACACCTGGGAAGGACCCCCCCAATGGGATACTGCCCGCCTTTGAACTCCTGTGCCGGTGCCTGTGCCGGCTGGAGCCTCGGTGGCTCCCCGCCTTCGTGGAGCTGGCCCAGCAGCAGGGCGGGCCAGGCTGGGGAGCTGGAGGCCCAGGGCTGCCCCTCTACCGCAGAGCCCTGGCCGTCCTGGGTGAAGAAGGGAGCAGACCTGAGGCCCTGGAGATAGAGCTGCTTTTGGGTAGCAGGAGACCCAAGGCTGTGCTGCAAGCCGTGGGGCAGCTGGTGCGAGGGGAGCAGTGGGAGCGGGCCCTGGAGGCCGGCCTGGCCCTGGGGCCCTCCAGCCCCCTGCTTCGAAGCGAGATCTTCAAACTGCTGCTGGCCGAGTTTGCGCGGCACCGCCGGCTGGACGCTCACCTCCCTCTTCTCTGCTGCTTGTGCCCACCGGAACTGGCTCCAGATGAGCTCCTGCTTCTCCTGAGAACACACCTTCCGGATGAGGGGGGGCCCCCTACCCCATTTCCTGAGCCTGGGGCAGAGCCCCCTCTCACTGTGGGCTTGCTCAGAACCTTGCTGGAGCAGACCGGGGCGCAAAGACGGCCCTCAGGCCCAGTCCTAAGCCTGTATGAGGACGTCTTGTGGGACCTGGGCACCCCACCCCCCACACCCCCTCGGGGACCTGTGCCCACACTGCAGGCAGTGGAGCAGCCAGACTTGGAGGCTTGGGCACCCTCTGTATAGGGCCTCTGTGACTGACACGGGAAGTCACTTGTAGGACTCTTGATGAGGGAGGAGTGCCTAGGAGTTGGAGGGGCCAGGGCAGAACCTGTGTGTGCAGTTCCCTTCTGTCTTCTGAAACGGTTTCTGAAATATATATAAATGTCAAATGTGCATTCCATTTGTGTGGTTTTAACAGCTGAGGGTCTCGGGGTTGTGGATTATAGAGGGAGTGGTTGAATTTGTATCTTTTGGTTAAAGCAGCCACTTCCAGTCATAAAATTAACACTTCGAGCATCTGTTCTGCGCCATTCACTCTGGTCTTGATGCAATCCCTCATCTAATGCTCCTTCTAACCCACGGGAAAGTGCTAACTTACCATTTTCCGGGGGAGGAAATAGAGATCTGCAAAGACTAAGGAGCTGGCCAGGTGCACTTCCTAGAGAGTAGCAGCTCTGCATTTGCACTGCCTACTGCACAGCCTGTAGCTTCTGCTGTGGGGGCTTGGATGAGCGCACTGACTCCGGCTCAGGGCTGGATCCACCTTGCTGACTTGGAGGGGTGGGTAAGAATTATGTTGGCCCCTGAGCTGGTGCCTGTCTCCACCAGGACTCCTAGAGCAGCCTCTAGCCTCACGGAAGATTTGCCAGACAGGAGAGCTGCCTGCAGAACCCTATTTGTAACCAGAGTTGCTAGGGGCAGAGCTTGGGGGACCCTGCTTTCCTTCTGCTCCCCTAGCCAAGAAATCGGTGTGAAAAAAAAAAAAAAAGAAATCGGTGTGTGCAGTACAGATTTCTGCTTGTCTGGATTAGCCAATAGGACCACGGAAGAGGCCTTGGCCCTGGGCCTGCTTCTACTCTGGTGGCCCTTTACCTGGTTCTGGCATAGAGTAGGACCCTGGGTGCTGCTACTCAACATCGTCCTGGGCCCCAGCTAGCCCTTGTCTGAGGCTGGGGCCCAGGGTAAGGATTGATACTCAGTTCTGTCCTCAGCGGGACCTACGGCTTGGATTCCGTTCAGTCCTGAGCTTGGACTCAGGCTCACGTGGGACCAGGGACCGTTCAGCCTCAGGAAGGGGGAGCCCCTTGTCTTGCCCATGCCAGGGAGTGAGTGCCTCAGCCTTGTGGGAGTTCCTGGGTCTGCACAGCCGAGTCTGTAGCAGCTCCTGCACCTTCCTGAAGTCGGTGGGGGGGCGGGGAACACCCTGGTCTTATCCAAGTGTGGGGTTGCCCTTGTCCTGGCCCTCGAGCAAAGATGCCTACTACTGCCTGAAGTCAGCTACGGGCTTTTAAGCCACTGCTCCCCGCAGAGGCCCGGGGCTGGGCACACAGCCCCCTGCTCAGCTTCCTCTCAGCCCGTCTGGAGGCTGGACCCATTATGTCTCCTCCGTGGGAAGCTGAGGGTGGCCAAAACCAGGAAGTCTGACCCTACTGAACGGAGGTTGCCTTTTCTCAGCCTGAGACTTGCCTTGGGCCTCTTCTGTACCTGGAGAGGAAATTACACAGAGTGGGTCCCTGGGGCTTAACGAAGTTGGCGCAGATCTTTCCTAGCCGCCCTCTGTGAACCTCAGGCTGCAGAGGTGAGGCACACCTCTTGGAGGGCTCCTGCCCTCTAGCCTAGGATGGGCCCTGTCACCTCCCTGGGGACCTCAGACTGCAGGGGTCAGAGGTCAGAGCCCCACTCCTTCCACATGTGACCTGCAAGAAAGTGGACAAAGGATCACGCTTGATCTTCCATATCCTGATCTGGCCTTCAGCCTGGGCCACCTGTCATTGGGACTGTTAGAGTGGCTTTATTTATGTTTTCTCAAATCTAACCTTCGTTTCCAGAGGTGGTGGTTGTTTTGGGAGGGTTTTTGGTGCTGAGGATTGAACCAAGGGGGTGTGCACTGGCTACATCCTCAGCTCTTTTTTTTTTTTTTTTTCCTTATTCTGAGACAGGCACTTACTAAATTGCTGAATAGTCTGGGCTGAGCTCAAACTTGGGAACCTCCTGTCTCAGCTTTCCAGAGTGCTGGGGTTACAGCTGTGCAACTTTCTGTCTCTGCCCCTATCTTTCTGCATTCCTAGGGACTGAATCCAAGACCTTGTACTGAGCAATATCCTCAGGCCTGTTTTTGTATTTTATTTTCCTTATACTGGGGATTAAACCTAGTGCCTTTACACAGAACTCTGTCTCCAGCCCTTTCTATTTATTTATTTAGAGGAAGGGTGTTGCTAAATTGCTAAATTACATAGGCAGGTTGAGCTTGAATTTGTGACCCTCGGGTCTCATCCACACTGTGTGTTAGCTTTTTTACTCAGAGCTGGGATCACAGCCCTGCACGAGTGCGCTGGGCCCTGTCGTCTCCCTTGTAGCCTCAGCTCCAGCCGCTCTTTGATACTGTGATTAGCGAGTGACTTGTTCCCCGTGTAGCATACAAGTTCGCGGAGGACAGAGACAGGGCGGTTCGTGTTTTGTAACCTCTGCGCGGATCACGCAGGGCTCCAGACAGGCCCAGCTATTAGCGTGGTCGCAGCGTGTGACCAGTGGCTGTGGCCGAGAAGGGGCTGTGCTCCCGGCTTCAGAGGTTTTCCGGCTTCAGAGGTTTTCCGGCTTTCCTCCCGTTTTGTGCCGCAGACCTGGAACTCAGGCGCGTCTGGAGGAACAGCCGGGCTGCCTGGGGCCGGGATGGCCATGGGGATGGCCCTGAGCCAGGGCCGTGTAAGAAAAGGCCAGGACTGGTACTGTGCCAGGACCCGCACCTCCAAACAGGGGAGGAGGCTGGGCAGCCCGAGCCCGCGAGGTCCGCGGCGGGATGGGCCCTGGGCCTGTGGGAGCTGTGGGTTGAAGTCAAAGCCCTAGAAAGAAGCGGTTCTGGGCTATGCCTGAGTTCTGTGGGAACCTGGCCAAAGGACGCGTCCCACACTGGGCAGCTGCACCAGCATTTTGTTCACAGTGGTCAGGAAAAGAGAGGAGAACCATGAGTGGGAGTAACTCCCTCCGCAGGGAGCCGCCCCTAGCTTAAATGCTTATCACACTTTCTGCCCTAGAAGGCCAGAAAATTCCTGAGCGGTGACCAAGGGTCCCGGCTCAGCCTCTGCTTAGACGCGGGCGCCCCCTGGTGGTGATGCTTGTCACTGCCAGCTCCACCCGTTGCACTCAATGAGCTCGCGTTTGCTGATTTCTCTTCCAGGGAGGAGGAAGTCCGCAGAGGTACTAACTCAAGGTTTTCTGAAGGTTGGAGAGAAGGTGGAGAGGTCAAAACCATGGAGAGAGGACGCGTCTTTGCGCTTGTCATCCAGAAGAAAGGCGTCTGCTGCTGCCAGGACACTTCCTCTCCAGGACTGGAACTGGGGAGGGAGTTGAGGACACGGTAGTTTCCTGGGAGGACACGGGAAGGCCTCATTTTCTATGAATATAAAATAAAAGTCGGGACGTGGTGGTGCACGCCTGTAATCCCAGCTACGGGAGGCTGAGGCAGGAGGATCGTTGCAAGTTCGAGACCAGCCTGGGCTACAAAGTGAGCTCAAGGCCAGCCTGAACTGCATAGAGAGACCCTGTCTCAAAAAAAAAGACAAAAAGACCAAAAGAAAAAAAAAGGAGGGTTGTAGCTCAGTGCAGAGGCCCTGGGTTCATTCACCACCACCACCAGAAGAGGGGAGGGAGAGGAAAAATCTGAGAAGAGCCCCAGGGCAGAAGGGTTGGCAGTGGCTGAGAGGCATCAAAGGAGAAAAAAGGAGCCAGGCACACAGCCCAGCCAGTCAGAAAGACAGAGCAGGAAGCATCTCTGGCGCTTTCTTTGTCTTTGTCTTTTCTTTTTCTTTCTTTCTTTCTTTCTTTCTTTCTTTCCTTTTGAGGCAGGGTCTCACTACGTAATTCAAGCTGGCCTTGAACTCATTATGGAGTCCAGGTTGGCCTCATGCTCCTGGCAGTCCTGTCTCCGCCTCCCCAGAGCTGGATGACAGGCGTGTACCACCATGCATGGCTCATTTGGGCTTTCTAAATCCTTTTTTCTTTTCTTTTTTTTTTGAGACAGTTTATAGCTGGTCTTGAACTCGTACGGCTTTGAACTCCAGACCAGGCAGGCCGACCTCAAACTGGTGGTGATTCTCCTGCCTCAGAGTACTGAGTGCTGGGGTTACGGGAGTGGGCCCCCACACCCAGCTTCAGATTTTTTTTTAAGTCCTTTGGCTTTGGAAAGCCATATCTTTTCTCCTGTAGAATGCAGCGTCTTCCCAGGGGCCCCGGCACACCCCTCCGCGGCAGCCTGGAGGGGCAGGTTTACTGGAGCTGCCGTGGCGCATAACTCCCCCTGTGGCTGTCTCCATAAGCACGGGGTGGCACGCGTCGTGGGGAGGCGGCACTGTGTGGAACACGTCTTAGTTCTCGCTGCTGCCCCCGCCCGCCCGAACCCTTCCACGTCCAGACCCCATTCCCTTCTGCGGAAGGTCTGTCTCCCTCTTTCCTATTATCCTTTCTTTTGCCCTTTAAGTTATTTATGCTTTGGGTTTCTCACGGAAGAGAACCCATGCAATAGAGCTAAGCTGTGTGGCTGACCCTGCATGTTCCTCCTGACGCTGTGGTCTCAGGGTGCATCCCTCTTCCTACAGACTCAAGTCTGCCCTTCTTTATGGCAGGGAGGACACTGCTGTGTATAAATACTACATGTCCTTATCCATCTGCTGATGCACACACGGGCTGCTTCCAAGATCTAGCTATTATGAATTGTGCCGCTACAAACATGGGTGTGCGTGGATCACCAGAATAGGGTGCCTTCAGCTCTTTGGGGAAGAAACCTAGAAGCGGAATAGCTGGGTCAAATGGATTCTAGTTTGCATTTTGTGAAGACTCTCCGTGCTGACTTACCCTTCCAGTAGTTGTATGTATATTTCCACCAACAACGTAGAATGTCTCCTTTCCCCTCACAGCTTCTCCAGCACTTGTTATTATTTAATTTCTTAATGATGGCCATTCTTCCTGGGGTAAGGTGGAGCCTCACTGTTGTTTCTAATTTACGTTTCTCTAATGGCCAGTGATGCTGAGCATTTCTTCACGCATTTGTTGGCCACCTACACTTCTTCTGTGAAGCATCTATTCATTTCACTCGTCCATTTTTGGATGGTGTCTTTTGGGGGGAGTCTAACATTTTGAGTTCTTTATGCACTCTAGATATTAGTTTTGTGTCTGAGGAATG